GCTAAAGCTGGGCTCAGCAGCTGTGGAGACTTTGTGGACAGCTGGCTAGCTGAGAGAGGGCATGTAGACATGATACCACTGATTAAGATAGAAGAAAGCAAGTCTAAAATTCAGCAGTCAGTGTCCAATCACTGATGCGACCTTGCTGCAACATGAGGATGGGGGAGAGGATCTTTTGCCAGAAATATGGAGATAGCTTTAGCAGAATAACCACAAGAATGTAAAAGTAATAACAAAATAACTATAAGAAAATAGAAGTAGGCGTGGTTGCCCGATGAGTAATTAAACAATAATGAGCTCAGCTTTGCAATATGTATAAGCTTCATTAACACCAGTATAAATATGTGTGAGTTATCAATAAACTTCGAGATTTGCTGATCACACATGTTGTGTGCCACAATTCTTCCGCTGACCTGACAAGCAGCCAGGGCTTCCAAGGGCTGGGCACAGAGGCTGGTGCTGACAAATGTCCTGGGCCTTCACCCTGCTCTGTCCATGCCCCCAAGGGCACAGAGCAGCCTCCTCTCTGGGCCACTTGCCTGTTTGCAATGCCTTGCACAGGCGCTGGCCCTGCCCCACAAGGCCTGGCCTGAGTCCTGGCCCTGCACGCTCAGCCAGGCTGAGATGGACACTGATGGTTTCTGGGCCGGGTTCTCTGAGCCCAGCCCAGCTCCCTGCAAGCTCTGCCAGCTGCCCTGAGCTCTGGGCAGCACAAAGGGCCTCTCCCCAGCCCAGCCCAGCCCAGCCAGCTCTGGCCCCACAGCTCTGCTCAGGCCAGGCTGCTCTGGGCACTGGCCCCACGGCCTCAGCCCCTGCCAAGGACACAGCAGCAGCTGCAGCTGCCACAGGACGCAGCCCCAGCCATGGGGGAAGGTGCTTGGCCAAGGCCAAAGGAGGCTCCCTGGCTGCCCTGTTCCCCTCGGGCTGAGGTGCTGAGAGCTCTGCAGCCCCTGCTGCCATCCCATCTGCGCAGGGCAGCACAAGAGCCGCGGCCTTGGGGCCCTCAAGAGCTGCTCCTGCTCCAGGCCCAGGGCCCATGCCAAAGCTGGGGCAGCCACAAAGCTGTGCCCATTTCTGTTCATTGCTGCTCCAATGGGCATGGATCCTCAGCCATTTGGAGGTTGCTAATGAATTTCACTACTCCAGAGGTCTTGTCTTTTTTGAGCTCTTCACTTCAGGAATTCAGTGAGAAAAGCTCATAAATATTTGTTTGAAACCCCTGAACAAGAAAAGCCCATGGGAATAATTGAAGTTTTCAAGTCTTCTGTGGTTTATTAGACATATTTCAGAAGTGTATTCAAAGTGAATATGCTATATTGAAAATAATGCGGAGAGAATTGTTTTGCCTGTTTAAGTTTTCTTTTCCTTTTATAGATTGGTATCAGCAATGTCCAATAGATATTGGCCCCCAGCACCTCCTCATGCACTCTGAACAGATATGAAAATCAAGACACTTCATGGCTGACAATCAATCGCACTTTGTCCCTATCCCCTCCCCACCATTTCCTTCACCCAACCCCTGGCACTCAGAGCACTTGAGGAATGGAGTCACATCCAGGGGTGCTCCCAGGGCTCAGGATTGGGGACAGATCAATTCAATCTCTTTATTGCTGATCTGGATGAGGCCATGGAGGGCACCCTCAGTCAGGTCCCAGGTGAGCCCAAGCTGGGTGGGAGTGTGGCTGTGCTGGAGGGCAGGAAGCTCTGCAGAGGGATCTGGACAGGCTGGAGCCATGGGCACAGGACAACTGGATGAGGTTCACCAAGGCCAGGGGCTGTGTCCTGCCCTGGGCTCACAACCACCCCAAATCCCTGGCTGTGCTCTGCCCCTGATCCCCACAGCCTGTCCTGTTTCCTTCATCCCTGCATTGCCAGGGACTTTCTGGGACAAAGGAGTTCTGCTCTGGGGATGGAGGGAGGTGCAAGTGCCACCACTGGAGTGGGAACCACTACTCATCAGGTTTGTGTCCTTTGGGGGTCAGGAGCTGGTGGGACTCAGAGGCACAGAAAGTTTCTCTTCATGGCCAACAGACCATAGTTGAACAGGACACAATTTAATAACAATCACGCTTCTCCCTGAGCTATATGCAATGACCCAGCAATATCTGATGAGTCCACCATCCACAAGTGATTTCCATACTAAAATTAATTTTAGACAAACGTGATCCTGTAATAGATATAAACACAATTAAGTTCTTGTATCAGGATGCTCATCCTGGAGTGGGGACAAAACAGCTCCAACAATTCCTGATTTGCAAAGCTGTCAGTGGTGGATGGAGAAGGGAAGTCAGGCTGCTCTTGGTATTGAGGAAATGCTGAAACCAGCCTGACTCATTTCATCTCCTCCTGTCCTGGCTGATCTGCCCTCTTTCCCCTTCCACCCGTTGGCTTTTGTCTCCCACCAGGCCCCCAGTGAAGAGCCTGGCTCTGTGTTCTCCATCCCCTCCTCGCTGGAAGTGCCAGGCTGGGATGAGGAGCCCCTCAGCCTTCCCTGCTCTGGGCTGCACAAGCCCAGCTCCCTCAGCCTCTGCTCACAGCCCAAGGGCTCCAGCCCCACCTTGGAGGCCCTTCCCTAACCCTGCTCCAGCTGCCAGACATCTTTCCTGCCCTGGGCAACCCAAACCAGGCCACAGTGACCTGGATAATCCATGTCCTTGATGTCCTGGTCACACAGCCCTGGCCCCTTGTCCCCATGTTAGGCCCTGGGGTGGATCCTGTGGAACATCCTTTGGTGGAGGCTGTGGCTCCAGGTGGGCCAGGGGGATCCCGGGGGACAGGGACCCCGCTGGGCACGAACAGCATTGAACTTGTTGGGAGAAACTGTGAGGGGGAGCTGGGGCGGAGTGACCAACCCAGTGACCTGACACAGCCCTGCTGGGATGTCACACAGCCCCTCTGGGATGTCACAGCCTGCTCTGTGACGTCACAGCCCATTCTCTGATATCACACAGCTGATCCCTGATGTCACAGCCAACTCTCTGATGTCATCATCTGCGCTATGATGTCAGAATTCTGCCGTGTGGTGTCACAGATATGGCCTGTGATGTCATAGCTTCTCCCTGACCTCACATGCCCCGCTCTGTGATGTCATATCCCACTCTGTGACCTCATGTTACCAGATGAACAAGTACCTACACAAGGTGAGCTGACACCTGGAGCTTGTTCTCCACAACCCCAGGCCTATGGAAACCACACAATGCCCATTGTGTGAGAAGGGGAACTGGAAGTTCACCAGCCTCAGTGTCCTGCCAGCTCAGCCAGGCCCACTGGAACATTGGGGTCCACGACCACCAGGGACCACCAGAGAGACCCCCAGGACAGAAGAGCGCATGGGTAAAGGGGAGGGGAAAGATGCTAATGATTTTGGGGAAATTATTATCATATGTATGTTTAGTCCAAGACAATCAATGAATATGTGAGAAAAATACAGAAAATAAACAGAAACTTTCCTGTACTCAGCCTGCATGGCTTTGGGAGGAGCTATCCCCCGTGCATCCCCCTGAATAAAGAATGCTGCTTCTTAATGCTACATTGGTGTTAAGGAGTTTTCTGTTTTACCAAATTTTTGCTAACACTCCCACTGCCAAGGAAAGCTCTGTCTCCTGCTGTTCACAAACAGAGAAGGGCTGGTGGCTGATGTGGGGCTCGGAGGCTGCCTGGGGCACAGTGACCATGAAATAATCAAGAGTTCAATGTTCTGTGAAAGAAGGACAGGCAGCAACAAAACTTCTACACTGGAACTAGGAAGGGCAGACTTTGGCTATTTTAGGATGCAGATTTGGGAAGTACCGAATCAGGTACTGATTTTTTTAAGGGAAACACCCTTAAAAACAAAGAGTCCAGGAAGAATGGACATGCTTCAAGATAGTAATCTTAAGGGGGAAGGAGCAACCTGTCCCAGTATGGCAAAAGATGAGCTAGAGAGGAAAATGACTGTCCTGGCTCCACATGGAGATTTTGTGAGAACTTGGAGGGAAAAAGGACCAGAAACTCAGGAAGTGTTTAAGGACATCCTTAGGTTATACATAAAGAAAATGACAGACGTCAAAGCTCAATTAGAAGTTAAGCTGGTGGTTTCTGTAAGGAAAAAAAAAGAGTTTTTATAAAAATTTATAGCAAAAGGTAGGAGAAGAACATCTACTCATTGTTGGATGCAGTGGAGAATACAGTAAGAAAAGATAAGGAAAATTCTGAGCAACCTAACACCTTGTTTGTCTCAATTTTCAGTATGAGGACAGGTTTTCCTCAGGACAAATGTTCTCCTGAGCTGGTAGATGGACACAGGGAGCAGAACAGCCCCCTGTAATCCAGGAGGAAGCAGCTGCTGACCTGCTGAGCCACTCAGATGCTCACAGGTGTATGGGATCGGATGGGATCCATCCCAGGGGGATGAGGGAGCTGTGGATGAGCTCCCCAAGCTGCTCTCCATCATTTACCATCAGTCCTGGCTCAGCAGGGAGGTCCCAGAGGACTGGAGGTGCCAGTGTGAGCCCATCCCCAAGAAGGGCTGGAAGGAAGATCTGGGGAACTCCAGGCCTGTCAGCCTGACCTGGGTGCTTGGCAAGGTTATGGAACAGATCACCTTGAGTGCCATCACAGGGCACCCACAGGATGGCCGAGGGATCAGAGCCAGCCAGCGTGGATTTCAATATCTGCACTGATGGTCTGGATGAGGGGATTGAGTCCAGCATCAGCAATATAGCAGATGACACCAAGCTGGGTGTGAGTGTGGATCTGCTGGAGAGTAGGAGGCCTCTGCACAGGGCCCTGGACAGGCTGGATGCAGGGCCCAAATCCAACAAGGTGAGGTTTAACAAGTCCAAGTGCCGGGCCCTGCACTTTGGCCACAACAACTCCTGCAGCACTACAGGCTGGGGACAGAGTGGCTGGAGAGCAGCCAGGCAGAAAGGGACCTGCAGGGACTGATGGACAGCAGGCTGGACATGAGCCAGCAGTGTGCCCAGGTGTAGTAAACCCCATAGATTTAGGAAAAGCACCATGGAGAATATGAACAATAGGAATGCTGAAACAGCAAAAGAAAATTCCTGTTTCCCTGTCCTCCGCCCTTAACCTATCTCTGTAACCCTATAAGGCAATGTCATGTTAACCGCTTACCCATTGGTCAAGCTTGGATCCTTTCCAACCCTATAAAAGAAGCATACTGTACCCCATTAGGGGAGAAAGAAGAAGAGCAGAGACCCTTCACGGACCTCCTCAAATAAAGCCATCTCCGTGGAACAGCCTGCGCCTTCTCCTTCTCCTCTCTCTCTGTCTGCTGCAGCCTCAAGCCCGGGGCACCACTACCTAGCAAGCAAAGCTGAAATCCTAAGAGCTTTCAATCACTATAGAGCTGATAATCACCATGCTTGCTAGATGGTAGCCCCGCGGCGTCGGCATGAGCGAGCTAGCTTCGGGCACCCAGTCCCTACTCAGGGACTGAGCTCCTGAGCCCTATTGCTCTGCTTTATGATAAGGCCAAATCAGAGAGGTTATTAAAGTGGCGCCCAATGACTACGGACCCCCCCCAGAGGCGATATCCGTCGGTTGAGCAACGAAGCCCTCCGGGGTTTTCTGTGATTGCCTGTTCGGGAAGCCGCTCCTTCTGTGAAGGGACTTTTCATTTTAGAAAATCCTATCCCCAGGAGGGTCAGTTTGACACTCAAAACTTACATCTGAACGAGAGAAAGTTCCGAGGAGAACTGATGTCAGCAGACCCCTTCCACAGATCTTGGACCCCAGGAACTGTAAGTATTAGCTAATATTGCGCGCATAACTTTGGGGCTCTAAAACGTTTTTTTCAGTTTTTTTTCCTTTTTTTTTCACGTTTTTTCTGCTGGAAAGGCTAACCATTAACATGGGTACAATTTTTAGTACATTAAAACTAAGTAAAACCAAGAGAGAGATATATTTAACTATTTTAGAAATCTTATCTGCTAACAACTTCTCCTTTTCTAAAGGCAAGCTCTCAAAAACTAACCTCAAAAAATTTGTAACTTGGATTATTTCGCAATACCCTGATACGGATAAGAAAGCAGTCATTGAAAATTTGTTTTGGGATATGATCGGGAACACAATATATATCTCCCAAACAAACCAGGATTTCTCTGTAACTGATTATTTGCCTTTATTCCATATAATAACTAAAACCGTTGAAAGATTTAACAGAGAAAAAAATCTTGCAGGTAACAGACACTTCCTCTTCAAATACTTATGAGATTGATAAGGACTCAGAGGAAAGTCACTTGCATACCTCACATCACCCCTTAGGTTCTAAAGTCCCTCTCGCCTCCGTTACTCCTAAAGCAGAGGTTACGCTGCCCACCACGGTTCCCCCCCCACCCCCAGCTCGGCTTCCTCCTTGCTTCCGGTCCCGGGGGTCCCTTTTCCTGCCTCTGCCGCCCCCTCCACCCCTGCGTCGGCTCTGCCCCCCTCCGCTGCGGCCCCCCCCACCCCCGCGCTGGTCTCCCCCACGACTCCTCCCGTCGCCACGCTCGCCACCCCCCGCTCCCCCTCGCCCCGGCTCCGACCGGCCCAGCCCCTCCCGACGGCTCCCCAAGCCTCACCCCCGCCACTCCCGAGCCCATGTCCATCCCTGCCCCGTCCCCCTGCTCCCTGCCTGCCACAGCAGGGGGACCTCACACAAGCGTAGTCCCAGCACACCACCCCGTAACTGCGGCACCTCAGACCGGTACCACTGCCTGCTCACCCCCACTCCCCCCATGCCCGCACCCCAACCCCGCCCAGCCCCCCTGCCCCCACCACGTGTCGCCCCCACCCCCCGCCCACCCTCAATGCCACCCGAACGGAATCCCAGAGACCCCCCAAAGTGCTACCCCCCCCACCCGGTCCTGTGCGTGCTGTGCTGCGATCCCAGCTCCATTGGCGCCTCCCCCTAGCCAGGTCATGCCATGTCTCCCCCCCCCAGCCATTGAAACCTTTGAAAAACGCTTCTAAACGAAAAAAGCGTAAGTCACGGATAGCAACCCCCCCCCCCCCCCGGCCAGTCCTCCTCAGAGGACCAGAGCTCTTGCAGTGAATCTGATTCTGATACGATCCACACGGATCCATGGGCTCTTATTAAGATAGAAGCAACCAAGGCTGGAGATTGGGAGATGGCACAGAAAATTAATGCTTTCCCAGTAGAATATAAGCAAGGATGGAATGGTGGCGAGTCCACTATAAAGACATGGAAGGCTAACTCGAATAAGGAACTAGTGCAATTAAGAAATATAGCCAAAGAACATGGGCGAAGCTCACATATTTTTAGAAATTTCTTAGAAGCCGTGTTCTCAGCACATGTCTTACTTCCCCACGATATAAAAAATATTTCACACTGCCTCCTGTCCCCAGCAGAATATATGTTATGGGACAGGCATTGGAAAAGACATTTAAAAACATTATCAGATTCATATTCTGTGGATGCTAATAAGACAAATTTTACGGTAGTCCAACTAGCTGGTGAAGGTGGCTTACAGAAACCAGCAGACCAATTGGAAACCTTGAATAAAGAGGCACTGCAGGACGTCGCTCTTGCAGCAAAAACCTCTTTACTTCTCGTGCATGATGAGTCAATGCCAACAATGCATTTTTCTACTATTAAACAAGGGACAGATGAAAGTTTTATCAAATTTGTGGACAGACTTAGAGATGCTCTGGAGAAACAGATAGAGAGCACAGAGGCAAGGAAGGAACTCTTATGTAAACTTGCCTTGAGTAACTCAAATGAAAAATGCAAAGCCATTTTGAAGTCTCTACCCATGGATACAGACCCCACCATAGAGCAAATGCTAGAATGCTGTACACGTCACATGGCCACTGAAAATACAGTGGCCCAAGCAGTTGCTAAGGGTATTGCTGAAGGAGTTTCTGGGGCACATGCAGTAATAGCTTCTAAAGACCAAGCTAAATGCTATCACTGTGGGGATCTTGGACATTACATAAAGGACGGCCCAGAGAGATCACCCCCCCTGTTGTAGTGCGTTCTTATATTTTGTAATACTTTGAAGTAGTTTGTTTTGTATTCCCATATTTTTCCCAAATGGTTTATCCCAGACTGTACCCCCCCCCCTCCTTTTCCCTCTACTTGTGTTATCCCTTTCCCGGGATAAGATCTCCAAAACCCCCACCCTGGCTCTCTGTCAGTCACCTTGGCATCCCAGCTCCCTATCCAGAAGTTTCGGTCCAAGTTGTCGAGTGATTAGCCAGGGGCTAGGGGTCAGCCCCCCAAGTCCTGCCCCATACGCTGTTTTGTATGTCTATCCCCCCAGCACCCATCCCCCAGAGATACCTATTGGTCAGTAGGATTTTATCTATGTTAGTTTCCTCCCCCCTTTAAATGTGAACTCCGGACATCCCCCGGGGCTCTCGGCAGGAGACCCCCTGAGGTATAGGAGCTCCTTCGGGACTCCTTAATAAAAACCTTGGAATATCCCCTGCTGGGAGCCGGCCCCTTTTCTCTTCCACCGATGTCTCTGTCTTCTCTGCTGCAGCAAAGGCAAACAGCCTGAGTGCCCTCAGCACCTTTGGGGCACAGAGAGTGTCTCCCCACAGTCAGCCGTGGTGGGGCCACCCCCCCCACTCTCTGCCGACCCGGGTAAGGCCCAGGGACTTGAGAGGAATTGCAGAGAGACTGGGACACCCCCGATACCACCGTAACAATTACCAAAGACCCCAGAATCAGCAGCGTTACCAGCAGCGTCCGTTAAACTCCTTGCGCCGCCCGGTCGAGGCCCGGGTGCTGACAACAAATCAAAGGCCACCCAGACCCAACCACGCACCATCCCAGGAGGTTACGGACCACAAGAAGAGGATCCAACCCACGGGGCAACCCAGATGGGAACCCGCCGTCAACTGGTAACTGCTTTGTCCATTGACTTTAATAATGAGAATGTTCACCGTGTTCCCACAGGCAAATACGGGCCAAAAGGTGGTCCTTTGCATATTTTAGTTATAGGTGACTCTCTTAATAGCCCAAAGGAGATCTTCGTTGTTCCAGAAGTGCTGACAGTGCAGCCAGGACAAGAGATTCTCGTCCAGGTATACTGCATAGACTTACCATTTTCTCTTTCAAAGGGAACTCCAATAGCACAAGCCTTTTTACTCCCAAAGGATCACAGGGAACAGATTCCTCTCAACCCTACAGCTATGTGGGCACAAGTTGTGGGACCATCCAAGCCTACCATCGAGTGCGGTCTCACCTGCAAAGGCAAGAAGACCCACCTGCCAGGGATGCTGGACACCGGTGCTGATGTGACCATCATCGCCCGCTCAGAATGGCCAGCACACTGGGATCTACAACCTGTTGCAGGCATGATTTCAGGGATTGGCGGAGCTACAGTGTCCATGAGAAGCAAGAACAACATCCTCGTGGAAGGGCCTGAAGGCAAGCTGGCAACCATTCGTCCTTTCGTGGTAAGGGCCCCCATCACCCTTTGGGGCAGAGACGTTCTATCCCAGTGGGGAGCTTCCCTATGTATTCCCACTCAGGATTTCTAATCGGGGCCACTGAGCTAAGCGCGCTGCCAGAAACACCTCGTCTCACCTGGAAAAGTCACAAGCCAATCTGGATTGAACAGTGGCCCCTCAATAAAGCCAAACTGCACGCCCTAAACACCCTCGTGGAAGAACAGCTCGCAAAAGGCCACATAGTGGAGTCCAACAGCCCTTGGAACTCTCCAGTCTTTGTTGTACCAAAGCCTGGGACAAACAGGTGGAGGCTCCTCCACGACCTTCGCAGAATCAACGAGGTCATCGACGACATGGGCCCTCTCCAGCCTGGCCTGCCCTCCCCATCGATGCTGCCTAGAGACTGGACACTTGCTATCATAGACATTAAGGACTGTTTCTTCAGCATTCCTCTGCACCCTGAGGATGCTCCATGGTTTGCTTTTTCCGTTCCCTCTCTTAACAAGGAGGCCCCGCTGAAAAGATATCATTGGTGTTATCTTCCTCAAGGACTAAAAAACAGCCCCACTATTTGCCAGTGGTACGTGGCTCACATCCTGTCTCCCATTAGGAAATCATTATCTCTCTCTTTTCCTCCTCCTCCGTTGTTGTTGTTGAGAGAGATATCTCTCTCTTTTCCTCCTCCTCCGTTGTTGTTGTTGAGAGAGATTGAAACCATAGAAAAGGCAGGAATGGAGATTCGTGAGGACAAAATCCAGTACACCAAGCCATGGACTTACCTTGGAGTCCACATCCGGGAAAGGACCATCGTACCTCAGCAGATCACCATAAATGACGACCCAAAAACCCTCAGGGACTTACACAGCCTTTGCGGATCCATCAACTGGGTACGTCCACTGCTAGGAATTACAACAGAGGACCTTGCTCCCCTGTTCAACCTTCTTCGTGGACCTAAGGACTTGGACTCTCCCTGCACTCTCACAGAAGAAGCCAGAGGTGCCATCACCAAAGTCCAGGAAGCCCTGTCTTCACGCAAAGCCCATTGCTTCGAGCCCAGCCTGCCTTTCCAGTTCATCACCCTGGGAAAAGCACCTCGATTCCATGGACTGATTTTCCAATGGGACTCCCAGCTTCGAGACCCTTTGTTGATACTGGAATGGGTCTTTACAAGTAGCCAGCCTACAAAGACACTTACCACCTACCAGGAGGTCAGAGCACATTTAATAAAAAAGGCTAGGACTCGCCTTCGATCTCTTTCAGGTTGTGAGTTCAAATGCATATACTTACCAATAACTCTTACAGACTTTGAGGATTTGATCCAGACCAATGAAAGCCTCCAGTTTGCTCTGGATAGCTACACGGGCCAAACTTCAGTTAAGATCCCAAAACACAAACTTTTTAACCCTGATGTAACCTTCCATTTGATTCCAAAAGGAATCCAAAGTAGAAAACCTCTCAAGGCTCTAACCCTCTTTACAGATGGCTCAGGGTCTTCCCACAAGTCGGTGATTACATGGAGAGACCCCCAAACACAAGACTGGCACTCTGACATACAAATAGTGGAGGGATCTCCACAGATCGCAGAATTAGCAGCTGTTGTCAGAGCCTTTGAAAAATTTAAAAACGAGCCTTTCAATCTGGTTACAGATTCAGCTTATGTCGCTGGGATAGCGATGAGAGCAGAACATGCTCTTCTCAAAGAGGTTTCCAATCCAAAGTTGTACCAACTGCTCTCTAAATTAATATACCTAATCTCCCACAGAAAGCAACCTTACCATATAATGCATGTGAGGTCACACACAGACCTCCCAGGTTTTGTTGCAGAAGGCAACAGGAAAGCGGATGCATTAGCAATGGCAGCAGAAACTGCTAATGTTCCTAACATCTTTGCCCAGGCAAAGTTGTCACACGCGTTTTTTCATCAAAATATACCTGCCCTTATGAGAATGTTTAAGCTCTCAAAGGATCAGGCAAAGGCTATTGTGGCTACGTGTCTGGACTGTCAGAACTATCAGATACCATCCATGGGGATGGGAGTCAATCCCCGAGGTCTGAATAGCTGCCAGCTGTGGCAGACAGATGTAACTCACTTCGCACCTTTTGGAAGGTCAAAATACGTGCATGTATCAGTCGACACGTTTTCAGGAGCAGTATTTGCATCATCACATGCAGGAGAAAATACCATGCACACAATAAAACACTTTCTCCTCGCTTTTGCCACCCTGGGTGTACCAAAAGAGATTAAAACAGATAATGGACCAGCCTACACTTCCCGCAAGTTAAAGGAGTTCTTCAATGAATGGGGAATAGCACACAAGACCGGCATACCTGTAAACCCCACAAGACAATCCATCGTGGAAAGGACACATCAAAACCCTCAAAAGAGTCCTCGATCAACAGAACAGAGACACGAGAGCCACATCTCCAGTGGAAAGACTTTGCAAGGTTCTCTACGTCATCAACTTCCTGAACTGTACAGCATCAGAGCCTGACCCACCAATACTTCACCACTTTGCAAATACCACCCAAGCAAAGCTCACTGAGAAACCACCTGTGCTCATGAAGGACCTTGAAACGCACCAAATTTCTGGGCCTCACCAGTTGATTACCTGGGGTAGAGGATATGCGTGCGTGCTACTACCATCCGGTCCAAGGTGGTACCCAGGAAAAAACATAAAGCCATACTTAGGCACTGCGAACACTACTCCTGCAAACGGGGACAAGAACGCTCCTGAGGCAAACACAAGACCACCTCAAAACCAAACCAGCTCTGCCTGGAGATGAAGATGTTGCCAGATACCCACAAACACAAGAACAGAACTCCCCATTACAAGACAGCAGACAAAACTGAAAGCTAAACAACAGTCTGCTGCATCAGGCCATACATAGCCTTAACACAAAAGTGTTCTCTGAACTATATGTTGTTACACTGTTTTTTTTTGTATTTAAAGGGAAAAAAAACCACACACAAAAAAAAAAACCAAACCAAAAAAACAAAAAAAAAACAAAGAAAAAAGCAAAAAAAAACCACCCGGTTATTCCCTCTCCCTAAACTTTTAAAACCCCTTAACCTTCTACCCACTCCTCCTCCCTTAGTGTAGCTTAGAACTTAAAAGAAAAAGGGGGGGAGGAGGGGAACACAGAAAAGAACAAGGCAGAAAACCCTCTCATCATAAAGATAACAAATTCTGCTTATGTTCCCTATCAGAAGCCCTATTCCTGCCCAAAGATGAATAATACCTCCTTTGCTGCTCTCCTCACTGCTGCCTGGATGTTCTTCACCGTACCGCGTGCCTTCGGCTGGATTAGCCCACAGCCCAGCCATAATGTTTGGGTAACCTTAGCAAAAACATTAAAACAAGACAACATGTGCTTGTTCATGGGAAGCATTGATAATCCACTTTCCACATGTCTAGTAGGAATTCCCTTTGTAGCAGATGACTGGCCCGTCTATAACTCAGAGATCCTCCGCACCACAGGTAAGAGACCCAATGTGGCTGATACTTGGGATGAATGGACAAAAATTCTGCCAGATGCTCGAGAGGAACCCCAAGAATTAGATCTGTTGGGGTCCTCCAAGGCCACATACTGTGTCAAATTTTACTTTAGACGTCCAAAAAACAATTGGCCAGAAATTGACCAGAACAAAACCACATATCGAAAAGAGATATCACCAATTAACAAAGCCTATAACTCTCATGACTGGTGCAATTACACGGCCCGTGTGATTTCTGTGTCCTCTCTCCATCCCAAAGTATTACCCAAGGGAATGTTTCTCATCTGTGGTGACAGAGTATAGGCTGGGATCCCCTCCCGACTCCAGGGAGGTCCCTGTACCCTTGGAAAACTTTCTACCCTAACTCCAAATATCACCCTGTTATATAATTGGAAAAAAGAAAGCGAATCAAAACGACAAAAAAGGTCCTACACTGAATTTGATGAAAATTGTGATCCTAAATTATATGACTGGAACAAACCAAAAAAGATTGCTGTCTCCCTGTTCTTACCCTGGGTAGCTGCAGCTAAAGCCCTTGGTGAAATCAATCACCTTGGGTGCTGGCTCAGTAAACAAGCTAACGCTACATCTGCAGCCTTGAGTGATCTCTTAAAGGAAGAAGAAACCACAAGACAGGCTTTGCTCCAAAATCGAGCAGCAATTGACTTCCTGCTGCTTGCCCATGGACACGGCTGTGAAGACTTCGAAGGGATGTGCTGCTTCAACCTCTCTTCACACTCGGAATCCATCCACGTGAACATCCAGAAACTGAAAGATCTCGTGAAGGACTTGAAAGTAGAACGAATCCCAGACTGGGTCAATGAACTTTTCAGGCAATGGGGATTAACAGGATGGGCTGCATCCTTGGTTAAGGTAATGTTGTTGATTCTCCTTGTAGTTGTTATTGTGTTAGCTATGTTCTCGTGCCTTGTTCACTGTTTCAAAAGAAATATAGCGAATGCCTTTTTTTGTAAAAACAGGAAGTGGAGTTGTAGTAAACCCCATAGATTTAGGAAAAGCACCATGGAGAATATGAACAATAGGAATGCTGAAACAGCAAAAGAAAATTCCTGTTTCCCTGTCCTCCGCCCTTAACCTATCTCTGTAACCCTATAAGGCAATGTCATGTTAACCGCTTACCCATTGGTCAAGCTTGGATCCTTTCCAACCCTATAAAAGAAGCATACTGTACCCCATTAGGGGAGAAAGAAGAAGAGCAGAGACCCTTCACGGACCTCCTCAAATAAAGCCATCTCCGTGGAACAGCCTGCGCCTTCTCCTTCTCCTCTCTCTCTGTCTGCTGCAGCCTCAAGCCCGGGGCACCACTACCTAGCAAGCAAAGCTGAAATCCTAAGAGCTTTCAATCACTATAGAGCTGATAATCACCATGCTTGCTAGATGGTAGCCCCGCGGCGTCGGCATGAGCGAGCTAGCTTCGGGCACCCAGTCCCTACTCAGGGACTGAGCTCCTGAGCCCTATTGCTCTGCTTTATGATAAGGCCAAATCAGAGAGGTTATTACCCAGGTGGCCCAGAGGCCAATGGCTCCTGGCCTGACTCAGGAATGGTGTGGCCAGCAGGAGCAGGGCAGGGATTCTTCCCCTGTGCTCAGCACTGGTTGGGCAGCACCTCGAGTGCTGTGTCCAGTTCTGGGCCCCCCAATTTAGGAAGGACTTGGTGGGGCTGGAGCGTGTCCAGAGAAGGGCAACAAGGCTGGGGAGGGGTCTGGAACACAAGTCCTGTGAGGAGCAGCTGAGGGAGCTGGGGTTGTTTATCCTGGAGAAGAGGAGGCCCAGAGGAGACAAGGCAGTGTCAGGGCACAGGTTGGACTAGATAATCTCCAAGATCTTTTCCAACCTTGCTGATTCTGGGATTCTCTGAAACCACCCTTGGAGCAGTTGCAGGATGAGCCCTGGGCCTCCTCTTCATAAGGAGGGAACAGGCATGGGCAATTGGAAGAAATTTGTATCAGGAAAGACAAAAGAAGCAAAGATGAAGCAAAGGAAATGCTGAGGGCAGTTTGGGGGTGGCTGTCAGACAGCGTCTGCAGTGGCACAGGA